ACTGCTACAAAAAATTTAGCATTCAGGGTTTTAGGAAAAGCCTAACCCAAAATGTTTTGTGTTATACATCCAGAGATCATTTGATTCATAATTTTGATTTTTGTTCGTCTGAAGTGTGCCCACCAAATATGAACGTAAAGAGATCTACAATTCAGAAGGGACAATAAACTTGAGATATAAAAGCTACAGTTTATGGCACACTTACTATGTGTGAGTTGCCTTCTATATATTTCCTACTCCTTACAATAATCCTGTAAATATTTTTATTTCTAATATATAGAGACAAAATTTGTGACCAAGGTAGGCTCAATAACTTGATCAGGGTCGGGATTTGCTGTGGCACTCGAATTTGGATCTGACAACTACAAATCATGCTGCCCCCACTCCACTGTTGGTCTCTACCAAACTAAAGAGAATCAAATAAGAAGAAATCAGGATACTAAAGATACTAAGACTTCACCTAAAACATGACCCAAAAATGTACAATATAATAAAGATCCAATGTATTTAAACTTGAGTCAAAAGTGTTGGAGGAAGTCTTCTCCCTTTTCCTGCTAATTCCATAGAAGAGAGGGTCAAGGCCATATTCCCCGGTTCAGCTGTACCAGAGAGCCTGGGCTGCACTTCAGGGCGCTGCAAACTTGTCTGGACTATTGTTGAAGTTCACTTCTTGATTCCTATTTGCGCATAAATTCTTTCTGTCTGTTTTCTCCATCATTTATGCCATAGAGAGAACTTAAAATCCCCCCTTTTTACCTGCAACCTCTAACAAATGAAAATGTTTAAAGTGAAATAATGTGAAATATGCAATGTAGAATTTACCAGATGTCTGCTGTAATCATAAAATGGGATTAATAAAGATCACTCATGCTACTCCGTCCTGTAATAAATCTAAGAACCAAGGATGAAAACTCCTCCAAGAAATCGTGAGTGGCATTCTCATGGAATGTTCCTTATTACAAAATTAATTTTTCATATTTAAATTACTTCTGTAGGGAAAATGTCATAAATAAAATTATTCAGAAATAACATTGAAGGTTTTTTTTCCAGATTAGTAACTTTTACAACTTAACGGAAATGTATAATTTTATACAATGCTTCATTAGTTGAATGTTCATAAAAACTTCTAATAAGCTCCAGATCCCTTATACATAAACAGATCAACAAGTGTCCCTCTGCCCTTTTCCTTATTAATCCCAGGCCTCCTATTCATCACAGGATTGTTCTAATGCGTTTTCCTAAGGTTTTCATCAGTTTTACTGACTAATAAAATGACTAAAGGCTTCAGATATTAGTTTAAACAAGAAGTACAGTTCTAACTTAATTTCAATGGAAAACTATTTTTCTCTGCATAAGTAAGTCTGCATCATTCGGTATTTCTTATCCAAGAAACTATATACTTAAATTAAAACGCAGGAGTAAAGACAAAGGCTTCTGTCCACCGGTCAAGTAGTCTTGAAATGCATGCTCCCATTCTCTGTAAGTACCTTTTAGAATTCCATCATGGTAAAATTAAGTCTCAGATTTCCCATACATTTGCCAAGTACTATAGCTAAGCATAACACAAAACAATCATTTCTATGACAAAGGCTCTAAATTGCCTATTGTCATGAGTGGTAATCAGACAGGAGACAGAGGCTGTA